AAAAATTTCGCACCTCAATTTTCTCTCTTTTTTTTTTTTAAGGAATTTGGATTTTGAAAATCTGAATGGAACTGTTTATTTAAGGAGTCCAGGACCTGGACTCCTTATTTGAGTTCAAAAATTTCGCGCCTCAATTTTCTCCTTTTTTTAAGGTATTCGGATTTCAGAAATTCGAATGGTACCGTTCATTTCCTGATTTTTTACTATAATTCCACAAAATGTATATAATTATTATTTTAATATTATATGTGGATTCGGATTTCTGAAATCCGAAGTTCTAATTTTAATTAACACTCGAATTTCAGAAATCTGTGGGATATATATATGTCCACAGATATTCTTAAAAATTTAAATTTGTCCACCTTTATTTTAATCAATTTTTTCAGGAAAAAGACCCGGAGGTGTTTATGGATTTAATGTGTTTTCATTTTTTTGTTTGGGGTGTTGAAGGGTAAATTTTGTTTTTGCAAATAACTCCCTTTTTCAAACTACGTCGTTTTGGGAAAGGAAGTTATGGGGTAAATTTTGTTTTTTTGTTTAATGGATATTTATAAAAAGATACTTTCATCCATAATTAAAAATATGAGTTATTCCTATTTATTGAAAGACGCTTTCAGCGCCAATTAAAAATATAATGTAACTGTGATGAAAGACTTATGTCACGTGACGAATGTCCGACCAATCAGATCGCGAGAAATTTTTTGCCAAGCATGGCTTTTATATTAGCTTATAGATAAAGATAATAGTTAAAGTAGGTAAAATTTGATATTTATGAATTTTATGGATTTCGTAAATAAAAAATTACCATTAAATGATAGAGTGATGTGGTTGCAATATATGAACTTGGTTATCTAATTTTTTGCCATGTGGATCACACTATCTAATTTTACGCCATGTTTCCGATCAAAAACTCTCCATTAATATATATAGAGATAGAGATATATATTTTAAAAGAACAGTAAAATTATTAGTAACACAATAATCATTTTGGCATAAACATACTAGTATTATTATATCCTCCATCTATACAATTTTAAGAAAGAGAAGGAGAATCTATCCTATACTATATATATTTTGATAAAAGATTTTTAAACCCAAATCACTATAGTATGGAACCAGCGGAACGACAACGTTCATAAAAACACAAAGCAAAAGAGTAAGAGGCTGGAGGCATATGCTAGGTGTCAAAGTTCTCCCTCAAATGACAAAATGGCCATTTGATGAACACATGGTTGTAATCATGACACACTTAAGATTCAGGTCCGTGTCAAAATTGAAAACGAAAAAATGTACACATTCCAAAAGGCAAAGTGGGTTCTGTACCTCAACTACCCCAAGATAACCCAGCTGCTCCCAGACCATGCCAGGTTAAAATGAGAAGTATCATCTGGTCCCCAACACTATGTCCTACCATTAATACTAAGTAGCAAGAGCCCTATAATTGCCCTGCTCCACCAGTTTTCTGCAGCAGCTCTACATATTCACAGCGACTGCCATCTGGACCGACTCCAAGTAGACGAACGTTGTTAACTTCTGCAGTTTGTTATCCTTGCTGCAGCAGTACATTGTTAACTTCCTGAAATTTGTCAATGCTCATATTCAATGAAACAAGAAAAAGGGAGGAAAAAAAAGAAACTATATTTATAAACCCTAAACCCTAATAATTCATCTGGTCCTAACAACTAGGTCCATTTAAGTTCAAGGTAAAATTTTGAATGACAAAACTTAGTCAGAGCAAATCCAGGAATAACAATGGAGATTTGTGCATAGATCCAACGAGGAATATACAACTTATGCTGCACCATAAACTGGGAAACATTTTTTTCAGTGTTGAATCATATAAATTACAGATCTTTTTACTGATAAGATTCCACAGAGAACGCAATTACACGTATATAAACTCCCAATAATCTTTTTGGATCAAGTAAGCATCATATGAGAATACGAGTTCTAATTAAATGCCATTCCTGCTACAATTTTTGGCAAACCATAGCAAATTTACGCTGACAGAAAATAGACGGAAAATAGTCAATTTAATTGCAGTCTGACAACAAATAACATTTCTTGATAACTGAAAGTTGTGTACTAAAATTAAAAAAGCAGTGGTTTCAACTTCTATTTATGGACTTGCAAGGGAATGACCATTCTGGAGACTACTGCATATGCATGTATAACAATTAGCAAGCATATAGAGTTTTTGTTCCAATAAGCCAGTCCATCTTTTCTTACTGCAGATTTCCCAAGTTGTGTTTGTTCAGCCAGAATTAAAGAGTATTCAGTGATCTATCATACAATAAAAGATTGTTTCCTCCCTTATCATCTGACAGAATTGCAGTACAGGGATTCACATCAGTGTGTATTTCACAGATGGAGCGCCCAAAAGTAATATGAAATTATAACTAAATGATACATTATTCTAGTACGTGTGATTCCTTGGTTTTATTTCAACCTAGACTGAGATGTTAGTTTGCATAAAGTTGAGAATTCTGTCGTTACTGATTCAATCCCAGGTTGGGTACATTCGTGTCTCATACACAAAATACTACGACTAATAGTGGAGAAAAAGTGAGCAATAGTAGGGCTGCTAATTCGGTCGGTTCGGCTCGGTTCGGGTGAAATTTGGTTCGAGTTAATCAGATTTTTCCTCTCACAAGACCGACCAAAACCGAACCGAAGTATCTATTACACCGAACCGAACCGACCGAATTAATAATCGGGTTGGTCGGTCCGGATTTCGGTTCAACCGAACTAATACAAGAACAACCAAATTTCAGGAGTTGAGATTGAGAATTCACAAACGCAAACAGAGGATTCTTGTCATTAGCAGTTTGGCACCCCCTTTGATGTTGCAACGAATTGAAAATATCATCACAAAAGAATCAATATCATCATAGAAGTTAACACAAGCCAAAATTCACAAAAGCCAAATTTCTTTCTAACACAGTCAGACTAACACAAGCAAAATTCAATTATTCTAAATGTGAGAGATTAAGAAGGAAAGCCCAGAAAGACAAAAAATATTCCCAATCAATTCTTTCTCCAAAAATAAGTTTAAAAAACGTGCTGTATAAACCCACAAGGCCACAGAATGACAGAAGCGAGAAAATTGATCCAAAATTGAAAAATGAAATCAAGCAAGAGAGATACAGAAATCGTCAGCCATCCACAACATTCGAATACAAAATAAAAAAAAATAATAATGAAAAGGAAGAAGGAAAGGAAGAAAGGAAGGAGGAGGAGAGGAGAAAATAGGAATGGGTTCATGGTAGATTTGAAAAAAGGAAGAAGGAAAGGAAGAAAGGAAGAAGGAGGAGAGGAGGGCAGCGGCGGCGAAGAAAGGAAGGAGGAGGATAGACGAAAATAGGATTGGGGGTTCATGGTAGATCTGGAAAAAAGGAAGAAGGAAAGGAAGAAGGAGGAGAGGAGGGCGGCGGCGGCGAAGAAAGGAAGGAGGAGAGAAGAAACAGTAGATCTGGAAAAAAGGAAGAAGGAAAGGAAGAAAGGAATGAGGAGAGGACTGAGGAGGGCGGCGCGTCGAAGGAAGGAGGAGAGAAAATGGGGAGGAAAAAAAAAGAAGGGTATATATATGTAATAAAAAATAATAATAATTAATTAATCGGGCCGAATAACATTTCTTAAAACCGAAAGCGAACCGCCCAGGCTAATCGGTTGGTCGGGTGGAGCGGAAATGCACCCAATTAAGTCGATTAGCCGACCCGAGTAAGCCGAATGAAAATCGGGTCAGGCGGTTCGTCGGGTAGGACCGATTAACTAGCAGCCCTAAGCAATAGAATACGTTCCACTATCTGGGGTTGCTTTTTATGACTCCAAATCTAGCTTTTATGTAGGGCTGCTCTATTCCTATACAACCTATTGCATGTAATATGGCAAACTTATAGGCTATTGGCCTGATGTAACCCCAATTCTTAAGCCACAACCTGGACTAGCCATGATAAGGTGCAAAACACGGGATCGATTTACCAAAAAAAATAAATAAAAATGGAGTCAGCATAAGAAAACCATAATCTGTAATTGCAAGGTATAAAACTTGTGCATATCTGACAATCTGGTAGACATCTTACTGTTGCCTGCATGTAGACAGGTATTCACAGAACACGCTAACAAATGGTAAACGTTGAGCACGCCAATCAATTTGAAATCCCTATTCAAATGTTGAAATCGACGAAAATAACAGTGTCGAGATTCATAATGATAAATCTCTTTCATCAAACTAAATAAAACAATAGACATCATACCCAAACTAACATAAAAAAGAGCCCCATCAGGTGGTAAAGAGGCAAACATGGTTCCAAAGTAGGTGAAAATAGATCCTAATGTTAGGATAGAATTCATATATGGTCCATACTACTGAAATATCATGAAGAAGTGAACTGATGATTCAATAGTTCACTAACTTGACAATGTATAATACACTGAAAAGATTCATAAGAAGCCACCGAATAAGGATCCAGCTTCAAAGAAGCCTCACTTAAGAAGATCTCAGAGAATGATAGCTTCTTTGATGGCTGTCCACAGGTTTCATTTGCCTATTATCCAAGAGAATAATTAAGCATCAGGCTTGATTCTAAAGGATCTTAAATGACCTGTAATAGTTGGTTCACATGTCCCGAAAATGTTCAACCATAAGTATCCATAAATATAATGAACGGTTAGGGCCAACCTTGAATTAAACTCATTGGGCTTCAATTTCGAACTGCAACATTGGAACTAGCATTTTTTGACTCTTTCGTTCTTACACTTTCCCCCTTTTTTCATGTACGTTGCAAAGGAAAATAATAACAAAAATAAGAAGAAAGTTTTACCAAACCTTTAAGTTAACAGCAAACAAACTAGCAAGTGTAGTTAACAGGACTGCAAAAAAATGGCTTAGATAAATTACAATACTGCATAAAATAAAGTCTCATATGAGTAAAGGCAATGTTATTTTAGAAAATGGAGGAGATCTATACCTGGAAATGATGAGCTTCAAGCAAAATATCCTAGTTCCATATGTTTGGATTTCTAAATTGTGTTGCCATTGCTTCTGAGAGAAATTTGACAAGATCGTCTTTTGCTACTTCTTTTTCCTTTTTTAGTTCAAGATGGCGAACCTAAGCATTGAGCATAAACCTTCCATCAAAGTTGCATTCAAAAGCAGAAAGTAATCGCTTATGCTGAAGTCTATTTCCTATTTAAATTAGCTGGAACACAAAACAAACCTCTTAGACTAAATTTAACTGACAGTCCTAGAGGACTACAAAGGTACAAGTTAAATGTAGGAAATCACAAAAGACCTCAACCTTGAATATGCATTATATTTAAATTCTCAAGACTTTGGCCACCAAATTATGTCTCAGAATCCAATAGATTTAAAATCTCTCATTCTCACCATAAGCCTCACATTTTTAGTGCTTAATGTTCGACATGATGAATTATTTCTCAATCTTAGAGGAAAATTCACCAGCTGCAGCCCAAATAAATTTGTTCAAGTATTAGGCCCCCAGTTATAGGTAGTTAGCTCTTAGGTTTGACAAAAGCAAAAACAGAACTTAAGGAGTAGAGAAAGGAGCTAGCAAAGTATATCTATTAACATTCTACCTTCACTGAATCCGTTTGAGATACACCAGCATCAGTTATGATCACAAGACATTTGATATCATTGTCATTGGCATATTCGTACTGCTCAGTGAGGCTTGGATCACATATGGGAACAAATTCTGCCTGGTGCAGGACAATTTCCGAGGCCTGTTAAGAATTCAAATTTCAAGTAAAAAAAATTGTGTCATAATCTGATAACTCACCCTGATGTTTTCATTCCACAGGTCAGCCACTAGTGTCATGCGCTCCTCAATTAGCCCACCACCACCTCTTGAGCAAACAAGTATATCCATACCAAAATCATTTCTGCAATATATTTTATTCCAAAATAAGAGAATCAGCAAAACAAATAAACATAGATGACCACGATTAACTTCTCCCTATTGTCCATCTTTTGGCTTCCACAAAGAGGCAATACACCTTCTATGGTTAAGATATTAGTTGGCAAACTAGCATGTCAAATACAAAAAACAATGTCACTTATCCACATAAATATGCTGGCACCTGAGCTAGAAACAGATTCTAACCACAATCAATGAAATCAGAGAAATAATTGTACACCCAATAATGAAAAAGGACCAAAACAAGAAAGAGGAAAATTAATGTTTGCTCTGAAAATAAAATATGATTCTTGCTTCCCACTCTAAATAGGAGAATAATTACCTCAAGAATTTTGTCTCCCCCAGATTATATTGCAACAAAATTGTCTCCAACGCAATACTAGTGCCAACAGCACCCGGAGGATTTGCTTTCTGCAATAGACGCAGAAGTCACAAGCTGTTGGAAGAAATAGTTTACAGAAGATTTGCAAAGAGAGCTTTCATATTAACGAATACCATCCATCCTTTATCTAGTACTTAGAATAAATGAGCAACATTAGCTGACCAAATGTGAAAAAGAAATTTTGAGTGACATGAAACAACCTTATTGATAGAGTATTGAGGATAAAATTAGGCAGTTGACTGCAAAAATCTCCGCATATCCTTCAAAGTATAAAGAAGCAAAAAATTCCATGAACCTCTACTTGACAACTTTTAAGTGTCAACCTACGATGCACGTATCAATTACTAGCAAACCGCAAGGCTGGAAGAGACATATTAGCCTTTACCCTGCATGTGGGATCAGCTATGGAACAAGAAGTTATGTTTTAGAGGAGAGGAACATGAACATCAGTCCCATGGTGTAACAATCTAATATTAACTAAAAATAAAATCTGGGAAAATAAACCCACGAATCCTTTTCAATCAACTTTCCCATCAAGAATTCATTTTAGCCCGTGCTCCTTTTATAGAACTTTAAAAAGTTTTGACAACTAAACGAAACATAAAAAGTAAGGGGGAAAAAAAAAGGAAAATAAGCCCAGTGAAAAAGTTTAATATTGTACGACAAGACTTTTCCTAGCTGATCAGTGTCCATCCTCATTGTGAAATTGATGAGTTGATCATCGTTTAAAAGGACAAGATCTTGTTGACTGATTATGCTCACGTGATAGAACTTCAACATCTGGAGTGTTTCTCCTATTTCTTTATACCAATTATTCTTTACAAAGCAATGGAAGATAAAGATATATCAAACAGGAATCCTCATATCTCGATCATTGGATAATTCAGCATAAGCCCCAAAGTGAAAAAGTTTAATATTGTACGACAAGAATTTCCTAGCTGATCAGTGTCCATCCTCATTGTGAAATAGATGAGTTGATCATCGTTTAAAAGGACAAGATCTTGTTAACTGATTATGCTCACGTGATAGAACTTCAACATCTGGAGTGTTTCTCCTATTTCTTTATACCAATTATTCTTTACAAAGCAATGGAAGATAAAGATATATCAAACAGAAATCCTCATATCTCGATCATTGGATAATTCAGCATTATCCATCTCTGTTCTAAGTCGTCATTTTCTACCAGTCACAATATAATTCCCAATCATTCAATGATATGGTAAATCAGGTCTTGTACTATAGATATTTTATCAATTATTTACGCAGCACAGTTTGCAATAACCGGCTTAATTTAACTGCCTCACTTTTCAATAATTGGTTATCAAAAACCTAACCGGTCATTCTAAATCTTAACAATCTAATTAATTTGGAAAGTCCTCATATTTGAAACCAAGAGATAATAAGGACAATGCCATCATCAATCCATGAATGTTCAACAAAGTATTTGATGCCAACGGTTCTACATGTTACTTCACAGAATTTAAGAGGGTGGGAGTGAACTTTGGTGAAACTCAAGGATGCATCAACAATGATTTTTCCGCAAAGAACTACAGGAGAAGGTTCATCAATAATTTCCAGGTAAAGCATCTCATAATTTAGATCTTACAAGACGAAACTACAACAGGTCCTTGATAAGCAGCACACTAGACTACTATGGGTAGGCAAACACTACACAATTACATGAAGAGAAAATGGTACGAGGAAAATTTATCAAAATCTTATTATATTTGAATAATATGATGAGGACAAGAACTGATACAGCAAAGTGCGGGCATGGTGATGCAGGTAAGGCCTTCTTCCGTTGTGCAATCTTAGTGTCACTGGTATCTCCTTATTTAGTTAACCTTCATCTAAAAACCAATTTGCAATTTGATAGTCCATAATTCAAAATCCAAAACAAAATCAGAAGAAGATTTGAAGCTACCAAATCTCCTCTGCTGAATCCCGATTCAGTTAAATGAAAAGTCGGTGAAGAACCTATGTGGTCAGAGGCTTCTAGAGAGCTTGTTTTCTAATTGAAAACACTGGAACAGGCTGTTACAAATGCATGGAAAGCTTATACTCAAAGATATAATATCTTCTCCAAATTGAACTTTGATTTTTATAGGTGTGTTGGAATTGTAAAAAGTAGAAAAAAGTTTGAAAAAGAATTGGAAAAACACAATAACTATGTGTTTCCAAACAAAGCCTTAGATGTATTAGTAGCTTCAATTCTTATTTGCGATATGCCTTTAGTGTTTGTGTGAAAATAGTGGAATTGTAATTGCATCCTCCTCTGTGGGTTATAACTTCCCCCGTTGGTTTGCTTTCTTTCTGCAACACTTTACTCAAGCCTAGTTTATGACATGATGCTTAACTTGAAAGAGAATTCATATGTTAATCAATTGGTCTCAGCACCATACTTACTCTAAGAATCCACCAGAAAGCAAAAGAAAAAACTGGTAACAAAACATTAGCATTTACTGGATGATAAATGGACAGGTGTTAACAATTCAATGGCCAGATCCTTAATCATCTAGAGATATACAACTTCCTATACACTGTTACGAACTGTTAATCATATGTGAGGAAACAACAGGCAAAGACTTTTCATTTTTCACTCTTTGAATCCCATTCTACTCTCACAGAGCAGTTACAGAAGGGTTGCAGGTATTTGCACTTTAAATGAAGAATTACATCAAACTTGAAATCAATTGGAAATGTGTGAAGTAGGCCAATACCTAATTAACTACTTAAAAAGCATAATGTTACTAACAAGGATACTTCAATAAATTGAGAAATGGAAACCTAATAAAGGGGAAAAAAAAATCAATACAAAGCCTCAAAAACTTCAAAGGCCTACAAGCAGAGTGATCAGATGACAAATATCTCTGAAGTCAGAAAACTGGTTATCAGTTACCAGGCATGAAATTCAAGTCATCTTTATCTTAACGACTTTTAAGAAATCAAGATATCTACAATGACATCTCCTATGCATGACATTATTAGTTAATGGATTATTTATCTTAAATCAGAACTCAGCAGTGACACAAACCTCATGCAAGTAAAGAAAAAAATATGGCTGCAAAAATCTCAGGAAGTTCCAATGAGAAGCAAGAATAATGATCACCTACATGCTCATTTTCTCCAATATCATGAAGCAAGTGGTCATACCGACCACCGACAGCAAGCAAGGTTCCTTCAATCAAAGATCCGGTGTTCTTTCTCAGGTATATCTGCACAACGGAATCTTTTTTCAGTAGTGGTACTTCAAAGCCACTAGCGTCTCACATTCTTCTCCCTAATAGATCTTTCAACATTAGAATCATTATTTGAGCAATTACTTTTCCTCACATTCTTCCCATTTACTCATAAAAAATTGCTCTTCAACTTGCAAGGATAAATTACTTTTGTGATTAGCTAGAACAGAATATGACTACTACATGGAGATATTTCAGCTAAGCAAATTTGAAAACAATAATAGGTTGCCGCAGTGACATAATGAGAGGGATTTCAACTGTTTCTTCAAAAGGCATATGCCCTACTCGCATTCACATTTATTAAACTGGATGTAAAATCTAGCAGATCATCTTTTGTTGGAATGAACATCAACTTTACACTCCCCCTCTTTTATTTTTCTTTGTTGAGTATCTCCCACCTTCCAAAAATGGAAAACATGAGTTTTGCAAATATGGACCCATATGACTGCAGATTCCCACTTTTGTAGAATTCTTTACTCCAGAAAAGGTTGCTTTCCATGTAGATGCTGGTGCCGGAGAAGAATCTCTATTATTGTACAAGGATGCAGAAGCCATATAACATATTCCGGGGTTTCAAGGAATTCATGCTATTAAGATAGAGTCTCAAGGCACTTCAAAAATTAATTTCTATTATTGTACAATAGAACAGATATTCCACTTGTGCTGGTAATTCCCAGCAGTTGAATTACAGAAGAAATTAAAAAAAAAAGGCAATGTTATAAAAAGGTTTGCCTTTTGAGAAGCATCATTTTGATACCTGGAAAAATATATTCCTGTGGTAACTCTCAGTTGGTGCCATGAGTGCATCCACAAAAATGCATCCATCAAGCTTCCAAATTCTTAAATACTTCCAGAGCTCTGACAATTCATCAAGTGCCTTGCGTGTGGATTTGTCTGTGATTGAAATCCAACAAGAAGTCACAATACGTATGATCCAAATTTGTTAGAATGCAAATGAATGAGATGAATACCAGCAGGAAGAGCTCCTCTTAGCCTTGCGAGAGCCTGATCAACGGCTCCACAGAACCTCAATCCAACTGTCTGCAATCTATTTACAGCAGCTTCACTAAGATTAAGTTCCTGGTAAACAAGGTTAGTAAGATGGCAGCTTAAATGGATTGCGATCTGAGAAAGTCTAACGTTTCTCATCTACAAAGAGAAAAGTAGTGATAGAAAATCCCTCCATATGTGAGACGATTATAACAAAGAACACCCTGGTAAACCACGAGCTGGACACATTTTAAACTAGTCGTCTATATGCAGTTATAAGCATTCAGAAATATAATATATTTCTCTCAAGCAAGGTAATTACACAAGAATCATGGGCATGATTGATGAATAGAATGGTTTGTCTTTCAGATCAAGGTGATGCTAGTTTGAACATACTCAACCAAGTTGTGCTACGAAAGCAGCAATCCACATTTAATTCTAGTCCAGTGTTTCAAGGGAATATCAGAGTATAAAAAGCATACGTGAACAGAGTAATTTGGATTAGAAACTTAGACATGGTATTGAGTGTGCTAGAACGTGAGGGAGAACATAAAGAGACAACTTAAATATGTTATGTGTTACAGTTCAAGAAATCAACACATGTCTCTGTTTCTTCCAGTAAATAGTTAAAAGAAACAAAACCACCAGCATGGCAGCATTGCAGTATAAAACAAAACCTGTTGAAGCTGTCGCCTAATCACCACCCATTTTGACTTTCTTTCAGATGATTGAGGACGTAAAGACCCCAATAATGAGAGAAGCTACAAATTGGAAAGGATGAAAAATAAGTATACGCAGATACAAGTTTCAGTTTTCCCTTCTTAAAGAGAAAAGGTAAAGCAAAGAAAAAAGGTAATCTTATGTTAATACCTCTGCAACTTTCTGCCTATGCTCAGGCTTTACGCCCGTCCATGACCAAATTGCCTCAAGCAGATCTCCATGATTCAAGTGAATATCACATGAATCTGGATGAAAGAACTTACCGATAATATCCATTGCAGTCTAGAAAAGGTACAATAGTGGAAAATTCAACAAGCAACCTTTTCAATAGTGGAACATTAACTTCATAAAAAAGTGAGAACAAGGTGTTACAGAATTGTAAATGTGAGATTTCATGCGGACGCAAAGGGACTGCATTTCATGCTAATGCGTCAAAAAGATTCCAGTAAGTCCAGGGTGAATGATGCGGAACTATACAACTCTACATCAGCATCCTTGTGAAAATATGAAATTATGGCACACATATGCTTTCGAGCAAGATTCCTGTATTTTGTGTCTATAATGTTTTATATCCATTCCTGAAGCCAGTCAGCAAGAAAATACACGACAACAAATAGAAAAAGCAGGCCTATGCTGAATTCTGGTACAATTGTAGCAGGCAATTTGGAATGTTATATTGAGTACCTCTTTTCACAGGGAATAAAAGGCCTGGAAAAGTATAGATTTTCACTTTTTATTTAGGAAGGAAAAAAAGAAAAGAATTTTATTCATAGTTATGCAACTATTCTACCTATATGCTCTCAGGCAAGGAAACTATTCTGCATCTTAATATTCCATAACTGGGTCCGTCACTACTACATTCATATACAATGAGCGCAGTCTCTAATATAGTTTTTATTTATTATTGTTTATATGTTTTGAGGTAAACCAGTACTAACAGTTACATTGACACTACCAGCCACTCATAGATGAAGCCTACTAATATGATATAACATTTCAAAGCTTTTCCAAATGCGAATTCGTAGCGATCTAACATTCAGAACTCACATTAGGTTCAAGAATTTTCACTCATAGGATAAAGAAATTTATTTTTTTTTTCAGAGTTGGAATTGATTTTGATTAGGCTATAATGAAAGCAAAAGCATCCCACATGTTAACGCAGGCAAACAAGTTTGTTATAGCAAGGAAAATAAAAACCACAGAGACCACCTTGATGACCTCAGCCTCTGTCAACGCTACAGCACCTCCAACAATGTCAAAATCCCCCTGTAATTAATAAAACCCCATCCATATAAATCAAGACGCAACAAGCTACCATTTGGATTCAGCAGAAATTTAAGAAGGGACAAGCAAGAAAAGACCTGGAGGTATCGATTTGGTGGTGAATGGCCAATTGCTCTTCGATAGACATATGATACTTCATATCTTTTGAAGAAGGATTTCTGCAGAAAATAGTCGAATATAATATCAGTATAAGAAACAATAGTATCTGAAACAGAAACAATGGCAAATTCACAATTTTCCTTCAGCATTGCCCACGTGCTTTAAAAACTTTAATGATCTTCACATAAAACTGAATCCCTAAAACATTGTATAATGGTTAAAAGAGCATGAAATATAAATCAATAATATCACTGAAGGCATCAGCTAAAACTAGAAAAAGAAAAGGAAAAAAGAAAAAGAGAATACTTATAACACCGGAAAAAAAAGAATCCGAGTCGCCATTGGGATCATAATACAAGCGATAACAGTACAAAGAAACCAACTTTTAGTAACAAAAAGGATTTGTTCCACTCCAGAAAGATTTTAATGAGAAAACCATTGGTTGCCTGTCCCACACCGCCCATCTAAAATGCACGACCATTACTTTGGGAAAGTTCCAAGATCGAGACATTAATAATGAAAACAATCTGTTCATTATACTAATTGTGCATCATACCAGAACGAGTAACTAGTTGCATCTTAAATCGTACTACTTGGGACAACATGTCGGACTTCCATGTACAGCAATAATAATCCAACAATAATGCCAATCATGTACCTGATTCGCAATGACCCATTTGACAAATTGTAAGCGTAGCTCATGGCAAAGTTCAATCATATCCCCTCCTTGAGTCAAAAGTTTCACAGTATTCCTTCAAAATTTAAAAATAAAATCAGTCAACCAAACCAAATAACATGAGTCAGGTAAAAATTGGAACCACAATATAAGAAACAACAGAAGAGGATTAAAGCCAAAGGGTACCTATTAAACTGAGGAAAATCTCCTAGCATCCGCATTGCTATGTTCTCTAAACGCTTTGCACAATGCTGTCTAAATACTCTAACAGCCACCTCAAAAACCTGGTCACGGTAACTCGTATTGACATCCGTGAGCAAGAGAGAAGAGGCATCACCTCCAACCGGTTTCGATCTTCCAACTCTCTCATGTTCGTTGCTGGTCAATGTTTCCTCGTTAAAAATAGCACCCACAATTTTGTCATACACACCAGTGTCTTCAGAGGTATGGATTGTCCGCAGGATATCTAGATTTTGAAAAGGAGAAATCTATAAATCTTAGATTGAAAGATACAGGAATCATGACTATTTCCATTGTAATAAAAATAATGAAACAAATTTAACGAGATGATGAGCCAGTAAAGAACACAAGAAATTACGAGTAACAATTTGTAAAAATGGTAACTGTATGCGTTAGCTTGTGTGCGCTTCTCTCCAGTAGAGTGAGACAAATAGAAACTACAGAGATTTTTAAGAATATCTAGAACTGTGAAGTTGCGAAATCACAGAATCTAATAGTAATAATAGCATAAAAGAAAAAGCTTCAGATATAGGAAGAAAATAGTTTTCTGTTGATCAAAACTTGAAACTCCATGGATAAAGTTAAGGTTATCCTCAAGGATTAGCCTGAAGAAAAGCAGCACTTGAGATCTGCATGGCATGTTTAACAGTGATGCAAAAATTCCAATAGTTAAGGAGACAGTACATTCATCTCTACAGAAGAAGAAGTTATATTTATCCACAATAACACAATCTTCAGAATTTTTACTTAGAACAAGTCTTCTTTAGTTATGGCTGATGAGCTTTCATGTCTTAGGTTTGCTTTACGATTCATGATGTTTATATTAATCCCAGAGGCTTATAGCACATTCGTCCAGACTAGAACCTCAAGTTTCCTGTTTAATTGCAAATTTTGTTTATGTTGGAAATTACTGTAACAAATGAGAATCAATCATCATAATCATGAAGCCAGAAATCCAACAAATATTTAACAACTCAATAAGCCCAAAAGTCAAATGACCGAATAGAAGTTTTGGAGTAAACTTGGAGTCACAAACTTAACATTCTAAATGCTGGTGATCAAAGCACAAAAGTAAACGCTTCATTTTATTAGAAAACAAAAATTTATCAGAAAAAATAAACTTCAACCTTCCAAGTTCAGAAAGCCCAATCAACATTAAATTATGGTAACTTAGCAGGTGTTTAAGCAAAGGATACTTAAGAAGGAAAGCGACAAAGTCTATTATGTTGTTTGAACTAAGAATATTGGAACGGGGATTTGACTAATGTAAGTTTTGGATATCCACCAAACCTGACTCCCCAACTCCTACATTTTATACACGCCATAGAATTCTTTGTCATCATAGAATTCTCTCATTCCTCTCCTTCACTAAATGGTCCCTCAAAATCTATCACTCTCTCCTCTTTCACATGTCAAGGTTTCTAGAGAAAATGCACACTAATAAATATTAGTAACTTACATCTACGAGAGCAGAAAAAGAAATTTGATTAATCCTGACCAGAAATACTAAGCAAACAAATCATCAATATTAGTGTAATGCTCATTTCTAGTAAAAGGCCAATCATCAACTCCAGAATGCCATTAGAAGTCAAGTAAATCCATTTCTCGTGATGCTTCTCACTGCTTGAAACTAACACAAAACACTTACTGTCCAAAAGCTCATTCTCCATTCTGGGAGGAAAAGCATGTTGAAGAAGTTCTGTGGCAGATGGACGCTCAGAAGGACTAGATGACATCAAAAGACGTAACAAGGATGCTTGCTCTGGGAATTCAGAAACCCAGGTAGATGGAAGTTCTCCCTTTTGTTTCAATTCAGAAAGAATAATATGTCTTTCCATCGCTGTGCCAAATGGGTGCCAAAGCTCAAAGAAAACAACTCCTAAACTGTACATGTCAGCCTGTAAGACATACACACATGAACAGAGATTAAAACCGAGTAACTAGTAACCACCACTGACAGTCCTGCTTAAACCATCAAAGATTTACCTTCTCATTGATCTTTGGCCACCCTTGCTCTATTTCAGGAGCAGTATAGAAGTACGTACCAACTTGGCCAGTACCATCGACTGAAACTCCAATCGTTTCTGTGGCATCAATCTCCTGTTCCACTTGTTCCAGCTTCAAGAATTTAGCTGACATTCAAAAGGACAGATAACATTAGAAGCATCATTTACGTCACCTCATTGTTGCAGTTCTGGCACCAAGAATTTAATAGTAAGTGACAAAGGCATAACATAGAATCGTTTCCCCATATAGCACCTTAATGATGGCTGTCGTAAAACGATTTCAGCACTAGTAATTTAAGCTATATAGATTTCAGTGCTAGTAATTTAAGCTATACTTCAAGCAGAAACGTTGTGCACAATCCAACAAAGCATCAAACACAACAACATACACCTAGGGGGTCAAGATGTAGACAGCTTTACCCCTGTATTTCAAAATAAGAGGCTGCTTTAAGTAAGATCCAAGACGCATTGGTGCATTAGATATGAGCCATGATTTCCAGCAGCTTCACTAAAATTAAGAAGCACCGTAATTTATATGAGCCATTTTGATCTAGTCCATGATTAGCATCAAATAACCAGCAACAGATATATAATATTCCATATATTCCAGTCAAATAGCCATCTTCGATTCAGGTTTCCAAAAGATACAAATGAAATCTTCATCTAATGTTTGATGACAGAAGGGCAGGCAAGATGGCTTTGCAACCATGGCAATTTTTCAGCTATATCAACTTCTTTATAGGGACCCAAGTTTGACCTTAGATTTAACGTGGTAGGATTAACTGGGTACTCAGGACCATAAAGGCAGCGACAACATGACAGCGATAATAAAGTGCCTTAGTACGCAGAAATCACAAGGTGCATAATGTGACAGTAGTAGTTGCTCTTCCACCCAAATAGGTAAACTATTAACCCAACCGACTAGCTTTCACTTTAAGCAATCGTTGCCAGCAATCTGACTATGTTCACAATCTAGTTCCCTTCTTAAGAAAAGTCTATGCACTTGAGCTATTGGTTCAAATGTAATAATCTTCAGTTATTTTCTTCCATATAAGACGAAAAGGATGCTCAACAATTAAACAAAGGTAACATATGATGGACAAAGAGAAATGATAGAAAGCACACATTTCATGTTGCAGAACACAGGTCATTAAAATGTATCACAGTCCCTCACCTAGGCCAAAATCCCCAATTTTGATGTCATTACGAGCATCAAAAAAGATGTTACTTGGGGTCAAGTCACGATGAATGATTCCTTGGGCGTGTATATGTGCCAGGCCTTCAACAATTTGACGAAATAAATGCCACGCAAGTTCTTTATCAAAATGATTATAAAACTCAAACATCTGTCGAAGAGTCCTGAAGAAACATGGATACAAATAAACTCAGCAGCACAATATGGTAAACATAAGTCAATTTAAAAAGTATGAAACAGATAGCTTTTTCTTATGCACGAGATTATTATGCACACATAGAAGCCACAGAAATAGCTGTACTAATTCAAAGAATTTCAGGTTGAATTTGAAACATTTTTATTAAGTTACCTTTGTTGGGAATGTAAGGTGTATTGGGAAGATAAAAATAATAATTTATAACTAGGAGAAGAACGACAAAAATACCTACAAAAACAAATCAAACAAAGCCTTAGTACTGCATTAATAATTTGTCAGACAGACAAGGCAACACCCGAACAGCTACATATTTGTGCTGATAATATGGGGTTTGCTCCTTATAAATGATTTCTTTCCATTTGCTTAGGCTAATCTTTCTCCCTTTTAATTTCAGTTAAAGATTCTATGTTTTCTACTTATCTTGCTGGGTGTGCAAAGGGGATTTTATGCACATGTAAGCAATCTTAAGCACGGTTCTTCCACTTTTCTCATCTTTTTTATGTCGGCTAATTTTCTTTCTAATGCATCTCTATCTTATCTAGAGTGCCCAAGAACCCACCTCAACATTCTCATTTCTGCTTTCCTCATTTTTCTAATGCATCTCTATCTTATCTGGAGTGCCCAAGAACCCACCTCAACATTCCCACAATTTTTTAAAATTTGCAATCTGGATGCTGATCTTTTAAAGAACGCAAAGTCAATCTTTAGGTATGAAATCCTCTTCATCTCCCCTCTTGTAAATTTTAGCTAACTTCTAGTCGTATCTACCCTGGTGCAGCACAGAAGAAAACAGGTAGCAAAGGAAACTACATTTTAATCTTTTTCTTTTTAACTTGTGGGATCAGAGTACTGCAACTGGTCACAGTAGGGAACTGTTGCGTATACTACCAACAGCTTAAAATACATAAGCACAACAGATCTCAGACTCTTGTTCCTATTTATGTCCTGCAAGCCATTTCAAATAATTTCTTTTGTAAAATTATTGTAGAGTTACATTTTTAATCTTTTTCCTTCCACCATAAGTTGAAAAGAAGAAGAGAACCATAAACTTGCTTGCTTACCATAAGCTGTGTCCTGCTTTCCATTTCAAATAATTTCTTCTGTAAAAATTATTGTTCGGTGCAGAATTATACTCTTTTAAACTCTTTCCTTACATCATAAGTTGAAAAGAAGAAGAGAACCATAACCTTGGGCAGTACTCCATTTGAATGTATAAGTATGTTGACTCCAGCTTATTTTCAGGCGCAATAAGATCTGATGATGTTCCATCCATGGAACTGAACGTTGAGCTGATAGTTGCTTTTGAACCCTGAGTAGCATCACCGAAGCAACCAGCAACTCCTGTTTCAAACCATGCCTGAAATATTTCAATTAAAATTTCATCCATCATAGCCAAGGAATCAAATTACTAAAAAAATGTTTGATAGCAGTTGGACATTGCAGTGACAAAATATTCTCACGATCAAATTGAGGACTGTAGAAAAGGAAGCATAAACTAAAAAAAGCAACAAACAAAATATCTTACTTGGTAATAGCGTACAACATGTTGGTGTTGCAACCGAGAGAGAGTAGCTACTTCCCTGATTGTTTATATGCATGGACAAAATATAATAAGGCAGGATTATTCAATATGATGAGTACTGGAAAAGAGATAGGTAAGAGCAATTTAGACAAAAGTTGATAAACATCTGTCAAAAAAGAAGCGGCAACATTTGCATATATGACAGTAAAGGGTATTGGATAAATTCACTTATCCGAAATAAAGATAACTTTCAAGCCGCACTTTTCTGCCTCAGTATTTGATCAGACTACTAATTATCTAGATAAAACATTCTTTTGTGGATATAGTTTTATAGTACAACAGTATTACCCTCAAGATATAGTTTGATCTTTTAAAAGGGGGAATGACCTCATAAGTAGAAGCTTGAAAGAAGGGACTTCAATCATAATGTTTACCGTAAAGTTTCAAACTGTTTATGCAGCATTTTACTCGAGATATTAATCGGTGTGCATGTGGTAAATGCATTTAGAAGTTTTAAGAAACTTTAAATCTATCCTCAAAAAGAATGGAGTGTTCAAAACAGTTGTCACCCACAGACATGAGGTTACAAAGCGTAATGGACAAGTGCATTCTCCATGCTTTGTGGTGGATTGTAAGAGAACCAATGAAATGTAAAGAAAACTTCTTTAGAATAGTCAGAGATCAAATAAGTTAATTCAATTAATTAATTTATTTATTTATTAGTATTAGTATTATTATTATTATTTGATCAAATATTTTTTTACAGATCAAAGTAATTTGCTAATAAAATGAACATCAAGAAAAATTGAGGGTACAAGAAATGCAACAGTAGGTACAGGGACACACAAAAAAAGATTAGCCACAATGAATGCAACAGAGAAATATAGTCAAGGTAGCACTAATAGACAAGAAAATATAAGAAACATGCGTGGCATGATTTAGACAAGTGCCTAAACCAAGAAAGCACGCAGAAAATATAGACCAGACACAAAATGACACATCACACAGCCACCTCTACATATATGCTTGACAATTTAGTCTGGATAGGTGAGAAAGTGAAAAATGAAAGGGAAAATTTTTCATTTAGGGCGTTGGAAAAACAAAAAATTATTATTAAGGGCATAGGTTTTTTTATTAGCATTAAAACCACTTTTAATGTTTCTTTAAACATAAAAGACTACTTTATCCTTCTAATTTAATACTATATTCCCCTCCCCCTTGTGATTAAATTTTAGAGGCCTTCTCAGGGAACCGGACAGTTTTTTGGCCTGATTCTCAACTTCTCTATCACAAATTGGCCACTGCACATATACATTACAGTAATCTTGAACATTAATTATGACTTTTGTTTTCACTGCAGTCTATAAGCAATAATATTCTCATACTCATCAAAACTCTCCTCTCTGGCCCCCTCTATATAGTCATCACTAACACGAACTGAATCCAACGTCGTCAAAGAAAAAAAAAAGAAAAAGGAAGAAGAAAGAAGATAAAACCATTTTCGTTCAGGGTCCAACCAACCAAAAAGAACAGAATTTGATAACAAAACTCAAAAAAAGAATTTACTAATAATTCAAGGTGAACTAACTTGTCAAACAGAAGAATTTCAAGTGGGTTTACTAGGTCATGGCTACAAACAGTGGTAGGCGGCGGTAATGAGGAGTCTGTAACGGCGAGGAGAAATGAACAGTTAAGAACTTAATTTGATTATAAGGAACTATTCCATATCAGAAGGATATTGAAGTCCTTTTAGCAATTAAAGTAGCATTAAAAATATTTTTATACTGGTAATAAAAGGTCTGCCCTTATTAATAATATTAATCTTTCTCATGCCCTTAATGATAATTTTCCCAAAATGAAACCTTTGAAAATTGTTCCTCTCTAAATGAGATTTTACGTTAGAACTCAATTACAAAAATTCCTCTGACTTATTTTTATTTTTATATTTTTGTAGGGTTAACCGACAGTTGTGTTCTTCAGAAAATGTGAAGCCTAAATGTGACTCGAAGTGACAGCTACTAATTGTAGGAGTAGTCTAGAGAAAGTTCAGTCTGTTCTACATGAGTATTTTACCTTCTTGAAACCCTAAAAGCGTGTCTAACATGTGTCTAGTTGATATATGAAGTAACCTCCCAAAACACGTCATTTAGATTTAAATTTATGTCTTTTTTACCTGTTTACTGGCAAGATTTTAGTATTCAGCAGTCCCCGTTTGAATTTGAGCCTAATCTCCTAAGAAATATACCCACTAAATCGCATTTTTCCAATTTGCTCGCCTGTCAAAATACATTCCACTATCTTTTTTATGCAGTAATTAATTATCCTTTACAATTAGGTTGTCAACACATCTATCTCAAACGTCTCATATACTATCCTCTTTTTCAGTTCATCTGGTGTTTGGTAGACCACACTCTGATGCATGACGCATTGATTGTCTTAAAATTTATCATTTTCCTTCCAATGATTGCAAAGTTCAGAGGATGTATTACCAACCTATGAGAATTTTGGAGCAGGTCCTTATTGATCCACACCAAGCCCTTCAGAACAAATCCCAAATTTCTGAAACTTATGCATATAGCCACAAACTTTTGTCCTCACATTCTTACAATTAACAGATTCATAAATGCTAATCCAGATATCTAGTGAAATAATATTGTCCTGAACCCTCTAACTAGTACTTCTACATTTTCCAAACAACAAAATTTTTACAAATATCTGAAAAGTGAAGATATAAGCAAAAGCAAACATAACAAGACAATAACCTCAATATGCGATCATTTACTGGTGGGCTCTTGTCCTTCAACCGAATCTTCTTTACAGCATACTGCCTTCCATCTATCTTATTCTTACACAGCACAACATGACCAAAGCCTCCATGCCCTGAGAGGAAAAACAAGAAATACATATGCAACTACTCATTAAAATGAAATGGAACAAGCAAAAAAAAGAAAAAAAAAAATCCTAAAACAGAAACACATAACAGAAACCAACTCCACAGATACAGAAACTTAATCCACCATTTTGTACTCATATTAGAAACCATTAAAAGGCAAAATCCACTTTCAACAATTAGGAGAAAACAGAACATATCTGGCATACATCTTAAGCTCCATGATAATTTACTCCAATACAAAACATCCAAAGAATAGCAAACTAACTTAAAACTAAAAACTGATACAATGGTGTAATTGATACTGACAAGATAACAACAGGATGCAGGAGATCACCAAATTCGTAATTCCAGGTGTTTGCCATTGAATTTCGGTCATTCTTCTTCATACAGCCAAACCAAAAAGTGATACTAACGTTTTGCTATTGCAATTGTCAAAAGAAATGCCTTTAAGCAACTTAACAGCATAGAAATAAACAAGGGAAGCTTTAGTTAGCTTTTAAAGAATTTAATGGAGCGTTCTTCCTTGCCACGGCTTTAGAGAAACACATTTGCAGAAATAACAGATCATGACAATACACCACCTTCATTGCGTTCCATGAATAACCATCAAAAAGATAAAAGCCAAGAGCAAAATTAGAATATAAACAAGCATCTCGTTAAATTTTTAAGAATTATAAGGCAAGGGTGAGCTTCTTGTTATCAAAAGAGAAATGATATTTTAAGTGATATGCACAAATACTAAGCTCCTACACACACTCAATGCAACAAACAAATAATGGCTTAGTTTTCAAATCCATACAACATTCTTCGACATACATAAACTCCTCATACTATAAGAAACTTGAGTAGCACATTTTCTTAACATAGTCTGTTAAAAAACAACCAAACTGCCAGGTCTGAAAATTGAAAGCAACCTCTTGGAAATTGACAACAATAGAAAACTAAACACCAAGCACCCCTAATTTGACCACCACTCGGCTGCATAAAATGAATGACAGCAAAAAAAGTAAATGCTACCATTCCAACATCTATAGAATGTAATTCCAAACAATGGTAAGCAAGATATTAATGCCTTGTCATACTAAGAATAACATAACAAAACGAACATGCAATTAAGCTCATTGCTGTAATTATGAAGGATAGTGCCACTTTGAAAGGAAAAGTAATAAGCTGGAAGCAAACCCAGGGGTTGGAGCTCCTCAAAGTCACTCAGATAACGCGAGCTAGACATGGAGGACGAATTCTGTCTTTCAAAATCATCAACAGTTCTCCAAAACTGGCAGATCTTTGATGAGACCTACGGCACATAATTCAGGTAAATCATGAAATGATTGAATTCAATAATCAGGAATGTCAACCTGCATCGAGAAAAGGTGTGATATCGAAAAGAATGACTGACGAACCGTATACCGGCCAAAGACATGATTGAAAGCTTTGTCAAACAATGAAGATGGTTCAGTGGCCATATTTCGCACGCGCTCTGATAGTATCTGAAAACATACACATTTCAAATAAAAGGTCCACGAGTCATGCACTTAAAATGAATCAAGAAAGCAAAGAACAAAGAGCAAAACAAAGGAGAAGGATCCAGACCCCCATGTCATACAATTCCGATGCGATTTGTGGTAACGTGTCACCTAGTGGGCCCTTGGGTGCGCAAGCTAGGCGAAGTAGGTGAGCCTGAAAGATAGTTACTTTAGTCCATGACTGAAATTGACTACATCATATACCACAAAATCGAGATGATTACCAAAACTAAATCCATTCTCATTGTCTGAGACACTTGATCATTAAATTCAGATTTTGAAGAAACTGATCCAGAACTTTCACTATCTTGATCGCTATCCTCTGTTTCTGACAGACTCTGCGGCACAAATATATCCTGAAACAACAACAAAATGCCATCGCAAAGGAAATTACATTTAATAAGATCAAATAGCCAAAGCATCATGAATGACAAAGAATAATTATTTGCACTGCAAGAGACAAACCTGCTGACATCCGAAGATTCGAATTTCGGAATAAGATAGAAGAGAAAGGTTTGTAATCATGTCTATCAGCATATATCAACAAAACTATTCAGAAATGTAGCCAAATGCTATTTTGGCAGCATTGAATTAAAAAAGTAAATCCCATATCTCAAGGAATCCATAGCATTCAAACAAAAAGCAATAACGTTCCAATTAATCTTGTCAATGCATCTATCATGTCTTGTGTGATAGACATTTTAGTTATGGCAAACCATTATGTAACAAAGTTTTTAAGCTCAATCCTCAGCTGCAATACAAACTCAATTTTCATGTCCACATCAGATGAGTCACATAATAATGCCTTCACAGTGAGATTCTTGTTCATCAGAAAAGACATCTAAAATCACTTCAACTTCATTACGTATTTCTACTACAGATTAACAAACAAGAATATGCAAACAAAATCTTATTGAAGAATACCAAAATTTTAAGAAACAATACAAGAATTAGATTCATAATGATGTACATCTGGCATGCTTCTAAGAATATGTACAATACCTTTACACCAACCCCACTAGTTCTGACCGTTCCACTGGCACTGGATAGTGTCCGACTTGAATCAGTACTCTTAATATCATCATCACTCTCCTCTTCAAGAGTGACTAGTTTTGATGAAGGGTTACGAGCAAACTCTGGCTTAGCTCCTTGAATTGCCACAGGTCTCATATTTTGTTCTATCTTGGAGCTTAGACTATCATTTTGAACTTTGTAAGAATCTTGAGGATTGGAATGAACCAAAGTGCTAAAGCTAGTACTCTCTTCGATTCCCAAACTCCAACGCCATGATTCTCCACATCCGCTAAAAAGGTCTATGTAACCATGGACAAAAGGTCCTCTAGAAAAGGATGCCATGCCGGAGGAAAGTGCAGCCTCCTTTTGAGACTGGGTACTCTTATCTGATATAACCTAACCAAAAAACCGCATGGAGAACTTGAGTTAGGCATATCAGAACATCTGAGAGAAAGGCATTGCTTATGCCCTATAGCATGTAAAATCAGTGGAATGCAGATAGCGCAACTGAAAACAGGCAGACACTCTACATGCATCCAAGCAAAATTAAGGAAAAAGTTAATACACTCTAGCAACCTGTATTGAGCACAATCAGCCTCAAGTGTTGAGATATTATCCCAAGGCTAAGCAGAAAAATATGCAAAATTCCATTAACAAGAGTGCAATGTTACTCTATACTGCAGTATAAGATTCAGAAATGAAGGTGCTGTCCACATTTACACGTTCCAAGAGCTAGAAGACACATTTCCATTCAAAACTAGTCATAGCGTAAACCTCTAGGACAAAAATGGCAACTCAAAATACTAAATTCGAATAAATTATTAAAGGTATAGGCTTATAGGCGACACAAATGCAAAATACCAAGTTATACAAAAGGATCAGAAGATATATAGGAAGGAAAAAATGTATAAATATAAATTTCCACTGCACGTTGTAAATTCTATGTGGCAAAAAAGTATAAAAAGGAACTCATTCCAAAAAGCAAAATGAGCAGGGACCAACTTTTGTCTCACTCGATTCCTTTCTCCTATAATATACTTCCAGATTATTACATTAAATCACGAAGTATAATAACCTGGTATTTATTTTTCAAAAACAATAGGAGCTCCCTAAGCTTGGACTCCTAAATCTTATTTTGGTTTGCTCGAGAAGACAACTGGGAAGACAAATAGCATGTGCACGTTTACTTTTATTAAACCTTGTAAACAATTTAGTATGTAACTGTGAGTCTGACATGAAATTCTCTGTATATAATGCATTAACACATAAACCCATGTTTTATTACGTCACTATCAACATGCTACACTGCGTTATTTATAGATCCGTCCTTGACTACTGTGTAACTTAGTCAGGACCTGAAAGAGCTAGGCAGGCACTCAAATGCAGTTTCTCGTAGGTCAGAGGGTTGAACCAATACATGAGAAAGAAGAGAGTAGCATGCTTAAGATGGTTTTGTCACGTGCACAGCTTTTGGATGTCCCATAAGACAAGTGAATAACAGCTAATTTTACTTTAAATTAACAGAGGAAGGAGTAGACCTATAAAGAATACAAAAGAAACTATTAAAACATTACTGTTTTGTTTAAAGCGTAAATGACCCATGTGGGCAACCCATTTTGAGTGTATGTTATAAAGACTTTTTAGATAGGAAATTTCTTGCTTACACAACTGAGGCATAAATAGTAGTCCAGACTACTCAACATTTGTAACTAATAAATAATACACCTGTCTAAGAGAAGGTTTGATTTTTGAGTTCAATAATATCCCTGCAACAATTTGTCTTCTTCACGTGTTATAGGATGCAACTTTTCCTTGGTTGTGATACCTACAGGTCCCTAAAGCCAGAACTTGAGAGATTCCAGAAGTGCGATCAGTAGGAACTTTTATATATTCTCATTTCCTTGTTGCTTGCAGTTATCCCATAATGTCTATCTTCCTAAAGCGTAAGAAGAGTGCCGAATTTACTCTAGTCAAATAAACACTTGTCCTGAATAGATTCTACTAGTATTATGCAAAAACTTATCTCAACCTCATGAAAAGCTTCAGATAGATTGGTTTGCATTTATAACACTGGATAGCCTTACATAATGATTTACATAGGACAATAGACATAGCGTTGAACACTTAAAGCCTAGATTCTGTCATCATTGATTTGGTAAGAACTGCTAAGTAGTTAACGGGAAAATTACTCTACTTCATAACTGATAGAGTCAACCACTTACATATTGATAACACTAGTAAAAAATTTTAAGAAAATTATTGACGTCATTCAAGTTCTTGTGGACATCCTTGCACGTAAGAAGTCACAAATATCGTGCACAGCCAGGTAGATTACATCAGCTATTGAGCTACAACGCAATAAGTAAATTACACATGATATCAAAATGAGGTTTACTGGCTTTCCTTTAAACAACCAACACCCCTCAAACATACTCTCTCTTCCTCCCCCACCTCCTGTCAAAGCAGTTAAAAGGAAAAAGTTGAATCTTACTGAATCATGCACCTGAGACTGCGGAATAACTTCAGACAAGAATTCTTGAGCAGCCTCCACCAAATTGTAAATCATGACACGCCCTTCACGAGCATTGGAATTTGCCTAGGGAAAATGTCAGTTGAAAAACGAGAGAATCAGGAGCAATGATATGACAGCATACCCAACAATCTGCTGAAGATAAACTTGAAAGCTAAAAGCTATTGCAACGAACTTTAGGAAATAAGAAAAGGAAAAAAAAATCTACAAGCAGAAAACAATCACTAGTAACTCTTTTGCGAAGAAGTAAAATGGAGGACAGAACTGTGCAAAGGTGAAAGAATGACTAGTAGTGATAAAGCAATTTATGTAAAGCTGTTTGAGTTGTAATAGAGTAGTGTAGTCAATAGAGCTCCTGGAACAGAGACTTTTGGTTGTAAATATACATTTCAAGTGATTCAGTAATCATATATTTACATTTCACCAAAAAAAAAGAAAAAAACTCTTTTGCTAGAATAAAGTTCAAACACTTGAAAGTTAAAAACAGAAGGATAGCAATATTTATTGATCTTAAGAAACATTTTGCCATCTCTATTTTATTTTTATAAATACAATATTATCATCTAATTTTAACAAGTCATGCGGAGTTCCATGCATACTTATTCTCACCAAATATCTATTCACTAACAATATCATCAGATTGGTTGTCCTTAATATCCTTAATAAATTGCCAAAATCTACCATTATTAAAAGATTTAGTTTTCTCCTCTGTTCTTTATAGCATGCTCTAACACAGACACAGATCTGAAATTATTTACTCTCAGAGATGAAGGCGAAATTCAAGAGGCACCAGTGGTAGGGTGAGAACATATATCACACAAAGAAGAGAGTTGACATAAAACATATTTAAAACAACATCAGCCGGTTCATATCAGGAGACCATAGCGCTATCTGTTTACAGCATGACTGCGCCACATACATTTCTGGAAACCAACTGTAAATGCAAGATTGCTGCAGAGTTGAATAAGAATCGCACCTGATCGTGAAGCAAGGTTAGAAGATTCTCTGCATCAACTTCTGACAATCCTGTCTCTGAAATTATTTGCAGCTTCGGGCATTTGTTGGGATAACCAGGTAAAAATCTTACAAAACAAACCACAAATTCCGAAGATCACTAATAGTGTTTGATTCTGCTTTCTGTCTTTCTTCTTTGTTGTAATTAGTTTTAGTCTTTAGAAAATAGAAGTACATAACGGCATCGATATGTTTAAAAAAATAAATAAATAAATAACTGCACCCATAACTAGAAAACGAACCTTACCAAAAGAAGAGCCGAAAGATCTGATTCCTCATAGCCTGTATCCTTCGAGTATGGCCTACCACCCGCATCCATAACACAATGAGTCAGTAGACATCAAAAATACGAGTAAATTATTAAAGCCATCATAACATCAGAAACCTGAGTTTGACGTGAACTTGAGGAGGTGATCCGGAAATAACTTTGCAATCATCTTGAAATATTGCGCACCTATCATGAAGCCATTTACCATCAGGTCAGGTGCATGTTGATGGAAATACTATCTTTGTTTGCAGAAGTTGTCATTTGTAATAGCAGAAACATTATACCAGAAAATGTTCTAGTAAAAAATTTGAAACTATGGCACATAAATTCAAGATATCACAAGGCATATGATGCCAAAACATATTGATCAAAAAGTACAAAACATAAATAAGAAAAAACAAAAGAATTGTCAACCGGTAGCTCACATGTGGTTTAGAAGAGAAGCTTTTACCGTTCGTTTGATGACATAGGAAATAGAGGTTGGCAGTAGATAAGTTTTTGAGGCTGAACCAAATTAAGATTTTACAGAGACACATCCTTCCTACTAGCACAATGGCAGCTTTGTGTACATTAAGTTTGGGGCTATAAAGCATCATAATCAGTGATACAGGGCTTAGCATCAAATTTAGTCTTCGTAAGAACTCAGCAATTATCAGACATGAGAATGACCATAGCAACAAGCATAATAAAGGATCTCTGAAACTGCAAGGTAAACAAGCATTTAAACGGGGGTGGTCGGGGGTGGTCGGGGTGGGTTGGTGGAAGGATGGTGTCAACTACATCAAGCTGATTTGGTGTAAAAATGCATCACCCAGCAACAATGCACGCAAAAATCTTTGCTATTGCTCAACATGTTGATGTAGTTTCTCCAACAAGGAAATTGCCGTCAGAATTACTGACCATCAATCCAAAGAATTCACATTGCCACTGTCAGGCAACCGAGTGAATGGATTCAATTGCATCAAACAACAGATGCTAATGCATATCATTATGATCGCTGAAGTTAAGCAAATTTATGGTTTTTTTGGTCTGGTTAGCATGAAATGACCCAAATACCATGATCAACAGATGAACAAGTTCGTACAAGGCTTTGGCATCATGAGACGGCGAACAAGCATTTACAGGGAGGAAAAGATTAAACAAACACAAACAGATAAGCAAATGGTGGAACATAGTAAAATCAGGCAAGAAGAGTCCATCAAACGAACAAAACCGAAAACAATTTATTTAAACGCATGAAGAGCATTCCGATATAGACCGAAGGAAGGAACAGTGTAATTGAAACTAATTGAACATACAACGCCGTGAGCTCCTCGGCAATGACTTCGGAAGTTGCCTCACTGAAAGAATTACGATCCTTTGAAGGTGCCCGGCGGCCTCCTCCTCCGCCACCGCCACCGCCGCGCTTTTTCTTTTTCTTCGAACTCTGCCCCATTATACTTCCACACTACTAAAATTGCTTCTGTTATTTTTTTTCTGTCTCTTTGTTGCAAGGGATTGGAGTATTGGAAGGGATTGAGATGGGAATGGGATGATGAAGATGAGATGATCAACGGAGTAAAGAATGAAAGGGGAAGACCGGCGTTCAAATTTTGACCATTAGAGTTCATTATTATTATGGTAAGATGCCTAAAATAGTACTCCCTTCGTCCCATAATTATTGTCCACTTTGCCCAAAAAATTTTGTCCCAAAATTATTGTCCAATTTGACTTTTTATGGATCAAGTTACACATTTGTCCTTAGTAAAAAACATTATCCATAAAATTTTAGTGGTTAAACAATTATTTATGTAGGGGTATATCCGGTTGTTTAAGGTAAAATATAGTTAAGTTTGACCAAAAATAAAATCTTTCATTTTAGTAAAATTGAGCAATAATTATGAGACGGAGGGAGTACTACAATGCACTTTTTTATACCTAAATTATGCAATTCGTGTATATTGAGTCTGCTGACTTTTTTTTTAATAACGCCAGGAACACACTAGAAATGGGTAAACCACTCTAGGCTTAGGGTGACCAACCACTCTAGGCCGAGGTGACAAACTCGGGTGTGAAACCAACCACTCTAGGCCCGGGGTGACAAACTCGGGTGTGAAATCTTGGTTTCATTAGTGGGTAGGTAAAGCTTGGGGTGAACCCACACCTACTTCAACAGCCTGCAAACTAACCACCTAAGCATGTCCAGAGTGACAGGTTCGGGTGTGAAATCGGAGGTTCATTAGTGGATACGTAAACCACCCTAACTCGGGTGTGAAATCGGGATTTCATTAGTATGTAGGAAAAGCTTGGGGTGAACCCACGCCCACTGCAATAGCTTACAAACCAACCACCCTAGGCATGCCCAGGGTGACAGGCTCGGTGTAAAATCGAAGGTTCATTAGTGGGTGGTACGTAAACCACCCTGGACATGCTCGGGATGACAAACTCGGGTGCAGAGATGGGTAAACCCACGTCCACTGAAATAGTCTGCAAACCAACCACCCTAGGCCCGGGGTGACAAGCTCGGGTGCAGAGATGGGTAAACCCACGCCCACTGCAATAGTCTGCAAACCAACCACCCTAGGCTCGGGGTGACAAACTCGGGTGTGAAATCGGAGTTTCATTAGTGGGTAGGTAAAATCTGGGATGAACCCACGTCTACTGCAATAGCCTGCAAACTAAGCACCCGGGCATGCCTATGCCCGGGGTGACAGGCTCGGGTGTGAAATCGGAGGTTCATTAGTGGGTACGTAAACCACTCTAAAAATGCCCGGGGTGATAAGTTCGGGTGCAAAATTAGGAGTTCATTAGTGAGTTAGCCATAACAAGCCTCTAGAGATGTCAATAGGTAAGGTGAGAGCCAATTCCTCACATTTTTTTGTTGGAGTGGGGGATTAAACTCATGACCTCCTCTTGGAATGAGGGTGGTGTTACCAATAAACCAAACTTTTCATTCGCGTCTGCTAACTTTAATAGTTCGGATAATTAAAAAAAAAAACTTTTAAAGGAATAATCAATAATGCGATTATTTCTAGGAGTATGACTCCATGAGACCCTCTCTTCCCGAGGATTTTTAAAATTTTTCAAAACGTTTTCAAAACCAAAACTTCATATCAATGGTGGATTTCCAGAAAGTTAATCCTTTTCTTGGAAGTTTTTGTATATGAAAATCAAAAAACTGTTTTGATAACTCGTCCAGATTGGGATCAATCTCCAATTCCTTCTTACCTGCTTAATCCGAATTTCTTTAAATCCCACATCATTGCACTTTCTTTTCTCTGTGCTAACTTCATCTGCCTCTCCTCTATTCTTCAGCAGGTTGCTCCAATTCACAACTCCCCCGACTCTTTCTTATTGGTATGATCTTCTTACCCTTTTCTATCACCAAAATGGCAGACGAACTAACATCGCTATATTCCAAACTCTCACTGAAAAGCAATGTAACTCTCGCTGAGAAAACAATCCCACTTTTCAAGGCTAATTGCACCACCAAACGCGGTAGAACTTGCGGTACAAGGAGTCTCATGTCTGGTTGTTAAAATTCTTGGAAGCCAGCCAGGAATATGATTCAAAAACCCTTTTGAATAACATGAAATGCGTGTGGCACTGTAAAGAGCTTGTTGAGGCGGAATCAATTGGTAAGAATTTGTTCCTCTTATCTTTCAAGCTTTTATCTGATAAAATGAGAGTTTTAGAAGGTGCTCCATGGAATCTGTATGAAAATCTACTGGTCATTCTAGACTACAAAGGGAACGTGCCATTCAACAAGCTTCGCTTCACCAACTCTCCTTTCTGGATTCATGTGTATGGCATCCCAGCGGATCTTATGACGCGATCAATGGCGGAATTTGTAGCAAACCAAATTGGAGTATTCATCGATGTTCAAACAAATGCACAAGGGAATTGTTTGGGATTACTCGTTGAGAGTTAAAGCTTTAATTGACATCACAAAACCGATAACAAGAATGCTCAACATCGAATTCAATGATGAACCGTTGACCTTGTACTTTAAGTATGAGAAATTGCCAATTATGTGTTTTCACTGCGGAAGAATCGGTCACTTTAAGAAGGAATTTGATGAAAGGTTGCTGAAAGGAATTGGTCTGAATGAAGAGTATACATGGGGAACACTGCTGATTTTTTATAACAACCGGAAGAACTCACCGGCGACATCCTGGATCAAGTCTAGTTCCGAGCAAAAACTCCAGTTGGAACACCCAAACCCTAACCCTAATTCCACAATCTCCGGAAGTCAACTTCTCCCCAAATCCCCTGAAACTCGCATAACCCCAACAACCCAATCACAACTAGCAATCCATATCTCAGATTCTCCAAAAACAAACCCTGATCTTATGGTAATTGACCCTATCCCTACCACCCCTTCTAATCCTATCCCTAACAACAAGGGAACGCCAAAACAGCCACAACCCACCCCAAAAAATCAAGAGCCAGACCATGAATCACGTCCACAAATCAACACCCCCACAACCTCTAACCAAATAGCCAAATCTTCAACCCCAAACAAACCCGACCCAAAAGAAAAAAAACATAACCAAACCACCACCACCCCCCTAACCCGATCAGTGGTGTCAAAGAATTTAGGAAGTGACCCACAACCCCCAATAAGACCAGCATCAACATAACCAAGAGTTCTGGTCACGACCTCACCCTCTCCCCTTCCCGAAAGAAAACTGTTCAACCCAAACAAACTAGTCTCCAAAGAAAACCTTCCACCACTCTTGCCCACTCCAAAAAAAAAATCAAACCCTCTACTGAACACCCATCGTCATCCAAAAGCAATGCCACTCCACAGAAAGCAAGCAACTCAGAGAAGAAAAAAGAACCACTGGCGAAGACCGACAAGAATCGGTCCCGCCGATACAAATGAGTATCCTATCATGGAACTGCCCGGGACTAGGGAATCCTCGAGCAGTCAGAGAACTCAAGGAGTTAGTACGTAGGAATAATCCCACTTTTATTTTTTATGCGAAACAAAATTTTCTTCCTTTCATTTCAATAGAGTAAAGTGCACTTTGCGCATGATAGGTTTCTTTGTTGATTCGGTTGGTAAATCTGGAGGTTTTGATCTACTTTGGAACAAAGATGAATCAGTTGAAATAAAGGATTTTAGTTCTTTTACATTGATGCTTTGGTACACCCCTCTGATCCCATGAAATTGTTTCGTTTGACGGGTTACTATGCCGAACCAAACACGTCTCTCTGTCGTTCGGCTTGGACTCAATTCCAAAATCTCGGTTCAAATTGTAGCATACCCTGGCTATGCCTAGGAGACTTCAACGAGATATTAAACCACAACGAGACTCATAGCCAAAGAATGAGACCAGAATGGCAACTAAGTGCTTTCAGAGATGCTTTGGACTCATACAGATTGGATGACCTAAATTACGAAGGCTCTATGTATACTTGGTTCCGTAACAGAAAATTCCCAGACACGGTCAAAGCACGCCTGGTTCGTGACTGTGGAAATGAACTTTGGAGGCGAAGATTCCCTGAAACCAAAGTCTCTCATCTTTTCAGTCACCTTTCGGACCACATCCCATCCTTGTATCACCATATCTCTGCCAAAGAAAGCAAGGTAGAAGAAGAAAGAAAGGACGGTTCCGTTTCGAATCTTAGTGGATCAGAAGAACTGATATATTGAAGAGGCTATTAAGGATTCATGGAAAACGGAAAATCTTGACCTTCTGGACAAAATTGGGGATTGTGCAATAGGATTGGTTAATTGGGATAAAAACTACCCTAGAGCAAATAGGAAGGTAATTGATGATCTCAGGAGTGAAATCGAAAAAATCCAGAAAGGAGACGTGGATGATCGAGCATATCTTAAAAGAGCTTGGAAACCCTACTAATAGAGGAATGACAAATGGAAACGGAGAGCAAAGCTTCATTGGCACAAAGAAGGGGATCGAAACACCAGATTTTTCCATTCATATGCCACAAAGAGAAGGGAAATCAACGAGATAAAGGGTCTTGAAGATAGTCAAGGATCCTGGTGTACAAGTGAAAGTGACCTGGAAAAGATAATCATTGATCACTCTGGAGAGTTATTTGCTGCCAAGGTTATACATGAAGGTGATCTACAGTTCGTGCTATCTCTAATCAGACCAAAAGTAATGGGGGAGTTCAAACGAAGATTGGAACAACCGTATACGGCCCATGAGATTAAGAAGTTCTGAACCAAATGCATCCTACTAAATCTCCCGGACCAGGCGGTATGCCACCTTTATTTTTTCAAAAGTTTTGGCTGACTGTTGGTGATGACGTTTGTTATTACATTTTAAATTTTTTGAATAATGGTACTTTTGATCCAAAAATAAATTGCACACATTTAGTTTTAATTCCAAAAATAAAATCTCCCAAACTCATTTCTCAATTCAGACCAATTTCTTTGTGCAATCTGGTTTATAAAATCATTTCAAAATGCCTTGCAAATAG